TGCGGACCCCGTGCCGCGCGGCTACACGCGTCACGGACTAGCTAGTTCCGATTAGGCTTCTAATCCGAACTAGCTGTACACCTCGTGGAACGATTAGAAGCCTAATCCAAACTAGCTAGTCCGTGCCGCGTGTAGCCGCGTTTAAAAATGTAGCATTTAAAAATGGCGCCGGCTGGCTTCATACAAATGAAGCCCGGGAAATTCAAATCCCAGGCTTCATTTGCAACTGTGGATGACTACATTACCCCCGCTAGTTCGAACTAGCGGGGTAGTGTAGACATACCCTTGGAGTCTAATCATTGTAGAGCAGAAGCATGACTTCTTGTGTCTTGCTTATAACACTCCTGTTAATAAATCCCAGAATTATTTTTTTGTAACAGTTGCACACTATTGACTCATATCTAGCTTGTGGTCCATTATGACCCTCTTAGTTTCCTTTTTTCAGTACTCCTTCCTAGACAGTCCCATTCTGTATGTGTGAAACTGATAGTACTCCACTTAGGAAGGAACATTGCATTTATCCTTATTGACTTTCATCTTATTTACCTCAGACTATTTCTCTAATTTGTTCAGATCATTTTGAATTATAATCCTATTCTCTGAAGCACCTGCAACCTCTCCCATCTTGGTATCATTCACAATACCTCATCCCAGGAGGCATACATGGGTGGTCGACAAATGCCTTTGATGTCGACACCCGCGCGTCCAGACTATCGCGCTGAGCCGACAAACAGCTGATAAGTTGTTTGTCGGCTCAGCGCGGCAGCCATGTAAATTTAAATGAAGGGGCGATTATTTAAATCGGCGCTTTATTTTCCTATGTCTGGTAGCCTAATCTACATGCCTCTGGCGACAGAGGCATGTAGTCAAGACGTACCCCTATGTCACTTCACCCCACCACTCCACAAACAGGTTTCCAATAGAGACAGAGTGAACATGTCATGATATAATACTCAGCCACAAAGGAAAAGGTACCCTGGGGAATTAAGTGTCAAACTGTGACTCTTTAGCTTCTTCATTCAGTAGGCCATTTGGCAAGGGAAATATCATCTCATCCTCCCTGCTATCCTGCTACTTGATTCTCAAAATGGGACATTCAGCATACCACCATGAAGGACTACTCTGCACAGTCCACTGTGGGTTCATGGTCCACAGTTTAGGAACAGCTGTTTTGTAAATATGGTCTTCCAGATGAGAGCTATGCCATATCTTCCTGAGTTTACAGACAACCTGAAATGAGGACTTCAAGAGCTATGAATTGCCCCTGATTCATTCATTTCAATGTGGCAGCAACCCAAGAATGATATTAAAACTGGTGGTTTCACTATTTCATTGCTGACAGTCCCACATTAGCTGGATGTTTCTATCTCCTATCATTGCCGGTAAAGGGGAAATTCAGATTGGTCAGAAACTATCTTCAATCTTTGTGCAAAACTCCCGATTGACATTAGTAGAAATGTCTGAAATTGAAAAGGTTTGAGACAAAAGATGGCTTTTGAAAGGAGCAAATAGTTTAGCACAATATTTATTTCCTTCTATGTTTTTTTAAAGAAATTATTTGAAATAAAATCTTCCTCCCAGATATTTCTTTTTTGGTGGCAGTCATTGCTATTGGATACCATCTAATGACTGGTTCTTGGTTTTTCTTAGTAAGAAACCTTTTACTTACTTCACTGTTGTTAGTGTATCTCCAGAATGCAGCCTGTATCAGTGCACAGAATATAATGGCAAAACAGAAGAATCCCTGAGGATAAAGAGAAAGCAGTGTTACTTACAGCGTTTCCTCTCAGCGGTTGAAAATATTTATGTGAAAACACAACTGGAGACTAGTCAATTACATTGGCTTTGACAGGCTTAATGCAAGTGACATTTAAAAGTTACTTTTTTTTAAGCAGAGCTCCAAATTTCAGGAGCTTAAAGGAAGCCAGCTACACAATAGCTTTAAAATTCCCTAACAGGGACCATAACTACCAAATGGTATATATTCCATGTTCTAGCAGTCTCATACTTGTATTGCAGATTTGACAAAATGCTAAGAAGATACCAATGTGAGATTTCTAAATAGCTACAATACTCAATCCAAGGTTTAAGAATCTGAAGTGCCATCTGAAATCTGAGAGGGATGAGGTGTGGAACATGCTTTCAGAAGTCTTTTAAAGAGCAACAACCTGATGCAGGAACTGTAGAACTCGGGGGGGGGGGCGGGGGGAGAGGGAAGGAAAAGAAAAAAGAAAATCAACCATCTGCTGGTGGCATATGACTCAGGTGATGAAAATAAACATGGCTTGGTCCACTCTGCTTTGGATCATTATTGAGCACAACCTGTCATCAGTGTGGAAGCATGTCCTCTGGAATGGGGGTTGAAGCATGAAGAGATTCTTTAGCAAATCTGAAACATAAATATCTTGTGACACTGGCTACAATAGTGTCATGTTAGCATGTTTTCACTTTCTTGTGACATTGTAAACAAGAAGAGGACAGCATTATTTCCCCCAAATTGTAACCAAACTTTTTTTGAGCAATTGGCTGAACAAGAAGTAGGACTGAATGGACTTTAGGCTCTAAAGTTTTACATTTGTTTTATTTTTGAATGCAGTTTTTTTGTACATTGTCCCACATTTGCAAGTTCAACTTCATGCTAAAGAGACTGCACTACAGTACTTGTTAGAGGTGAATTAAAATACTATTTCTTTTGGGGTTTTTTGTAGTGCAAATATTTGTAATCAAAATAAATATAAAGTGCACACTGTGCATTTTACATTCTGTGTTGTGACTGAAATTAATATATTTGAAAAGATAGAAAACACCCAAAATATTTAAATAAATGGTATTCTATTGTAGTTTAATCAAAAGATTTTAAAAATTGTACAATTAATCACAATTAATGTTTTTAATCTCTTGACAGCCCTAGAAATTAGATTTAAAAAGTGGCTCTGTTCTAAAGCAAGACTGACAAAAACTGAACCATCTTACTCAAGGGATCCAAACTTCCCATGTGCATTCTGAGCCTGTACTCTGCCTGGGGTAGTAATAAAAGACATATAGAACTTGTTTTTCATGGAAGCTTTTATTGCTTTTTGAAATTTAAGATTGGAATTCATTTGGGTGTTTATGTGCTTATCTGCTTTAACCCAGTAAGTAGCTCTTGTTTCCTTTTCCTTTTTAAGTATAGTAAATCCTAAGGGTATGTCTACACTACCCCGCTAGTTTGAACTAGCGGGGTAATGTAGGCATTCCGCACTTGCGAATGAAGCCCGGGATTTGAATTTCCCGGGCTTCATTTGCATAAGCGGGGAGTCATTTGGGTGTTTATGTGCTTATCTGCTTTAACCCAGTAAGTAGCTCTTGTTTCCTTTTCCTTTTTAAGTATAGTAAATCCTAAGGGTATGTCTACACTACCCCGCTAGTTTGAACTAGCGGGGTAATGTAGGCATTCCGCACTTGCGAATGAAGCCCGGGATTTGAATTTCCCGGGCTTCATTTGCATAAGCGGGGAGCCGCCATTTAAAATGGCGGCTCCCCGCTTATGCAAATGAAGCCCGGGAAATTCAAATCCCGGGTTTCATTCGCAAGTGCGGTATGCCTACATTACCCTCCTAGTTCGAACTAGGAGGGTAGTGTAGACATACCCTTAGATACTTTATTACAAGACTGGCTAAAAACATTGTCTTTGGTGAGAGATCTAAAATGCAACTGACTTGGGATAAATGACTAGTCTTTTGGGACTGGTAATAACCTGACTGTTACTGTGGTATGTGGTGTATCTATCACAAATATAAGAGTTTTTTTCCTTTGGGAGACAAGACAGATCAGAGTATTGAAGGCATCTGTCTATATCATGTTTAGGCTGTTACAATGCCTAAGGAGTTTACACATGATAATTGGTTGGTGAAATCAGTATAGATCTTACAATCAATATGGGATTTGTTTGTAATAGTCTGCCCTGAGCACGGTGCTCACGCTTTTGAATTAAAGCAGAACAGTTAGACAGGTATAACCCTGGGAATCTTTTTCCCAAGATCAGGAGGGCTTCATTTGTTTCCTGACTTCTAGCTCTCCTCCGCTTATTCACGTTCAGACACATCAGGCTGAAGAAGTCTCTGGCTACTGGCTTACGCCATTAACTTTGTGCTGCAGGAATGGAATCTGATCACAACACAGCTGATGCCCTTTGACACAGCTGGTGTAACTGGTTCCTACGCTAGTGACCTCACTGAGAGCAGAGAAGGCTGTGGACAGAGCATCCCTGAGGACTAGATGCTGGTAGACAGAGCAGCCTTCAAGCTTCTTTTAACTCTGCCAGGGCCCTGGCATACTGGCTAATGCCATAACTAGCTCTGTTGTGGCTTCCTCCCCTCTTCTGCACTGAATGAAAATTTAGTACAGCTGAGAATCTGGGCTATCATTTGTTAATAAGGAATGAAACCATAATTATGTTTTTAAAAAGATACCCAGCCTTTTTAAACCTCAGCCATAGAATGCAATAGCAATAGGTAATCAGGCAACTACCCCAACCCTCAATGCAATTTTTATATAAGCACTAAAAAGAGAATACCCAGAACCCATGATTTCAACAAGAATATAAAAATACTTGAAAGAGGCTTTTTTATAAAAATTCCAATATTTTTTAGCATGAATAATCATGTCTTTACTCCATAATTGTCTGAAGGACTGTATTGCTGCTTCAGCTCTTCCAGAATGACCCGTGCTCTGCTTTATAGTCAGTCTTTGGAGAAGAAGCACACTTTGATCTGGTCAGATGAGGCTTGAATTCATTATTAATTAGGCTGCCAAGAAACAGGTACACACGTTTGTCCATGTACAACTATGCACCTTTGTAAATCAATCAAGTGCTCGAATGATATGGCTGAATATGACAAAAGATGGTGATGAAAGTGGACTTTAAAAGAATTTGATACAGGAAAAATGCAATCTGTTTGCTTTCCTTTGATAAAGTTAGAGTCAGTCTGGACAGTGGATACTGCACAAATCTTTTGTATTCTTCTTCAGGCCTAGTGACGGCAGATTCTCTCTAACTTGAAGTTTTTAAATCATTACTTGAGGACTTCAGTATTTTAGCCAGAAGTTATGGGTCTATTAGAAGAATGGGTGGCTGAGATTCTGTGGCCTGCAATGTGCAGAAGGTCAGACTGGAGCTAATCATGATGGTCCCTTCTGAGGTTAAAGTTTATGAGAAAAGGTTGAAAATACACAGCATTACTGACAGTATTTCAGGCTTTCCAGGGCAATTCTCTGACATCCTGGATTGGGAGGTCTCAGTGTCCAATAAGCAGCTGAACTATTATAATACCCCATACTCCCAAAATAAGGCAAGTACGGGCCTGTCACTAGGGTTGCCAGGTGTCCAGTATTGAACCAGACAGTTCAGTATTTTCGCCTCCTGTCTGGTAAAAAAAAAATTCAGAAAATACTGGACACTTAAAATCTCTAGTACTTTCTGATTTTTTCCTGGCCAGGAGGCGAAAATTCTGGGTGCTTACTGGGATCTGCAGGGGAGCTGTCCGGCCAGCGCAGAGAGGCAAGATAGCGGGCAGCCGCCGGCAGTCTGTTAGGGCCAAAAAGCCTCACCATGCGTTTCTTAAAGGGGCCATGATGGTTTTCTGTTTTGTTTTTGTTTTTGCTTTTTTTGCTTAACAACTCTCGGGTCCTTTTTTTCGGTATTTTTCCTGAAACCATCTGGCAACCCTACCTGTCTCAGAGGAGGGGGGCAAAGATGGCAGTTGTCCTGGGGCCCCGTGATTCTAAAGGGCTGGTGCCATAGGTGTGTGCAGCACATTTCATTAGGGAGTGCACCCAGGGAATCTTTTTTTTTTTTTTTTTTAGGCAAACATTTATTGAATACTCAGTCATAAAGGACATTATTTTTATTTAAACTAAAGAAACTACAACTTAACTAAACTTAATTTTTTTTAAATTAACAACTACACTTTACTTAAAAAATACAAACTTAAGTATGGGACATTGTACTTCTTAGTTTTTTACATGTGCAATTTGGCGCTTATTGCATAATACAGCAATCCATACTTTAAAACTAAAAGAGCGTGTCATGCGATTAAATGAAAATGCAAAGCCACTCTTTTTTAAAGACATTATAGGGTTACCAGGTAGTCTTAAAAAAAATACCGGACACACTTCATGGGCGGGGGAGGGACTGGCCGGGAGGGAAGCGGGGCTGGCCAGGAGGAAAGGGGGGGGG